TAAGTGTACTGCCCCCTTAATTTCTTTGCCACACTGGTAACAAAAGGGTGTCTTACAAGACCAACATTTTAAATGGTTATTGTTGCTATTCTCTTTGAGACATTTCTGGTGACAGCGGGGACATAGCTTTGTTCATAATCTTCTTCTTGGGTTGGCCTTACGATACTTCTCAATCAAATTTTCACCCACTGTTGGCTGTCTGACGGGTATGCGGAAACCTGGTTCGAGCCTCCCACAGTTTCCAAAATGGTCATAGCCAGATATTGCCTTTCCTAAAGAAAAAAGAAGTGTTTATTGGAATAATTTAATAGAATAAACTGAAGGACAACCTTAAAAAAAAAAAAGACAATATTATTAGATTTATATTGTTATGGCACAAAATAATTTATGGATTGTGTTATTGTTTGCCTGTAAAACTAGAAATTGATCAGATTGTATCTCCTAAATAGGAACTGGGCATGAAAAATTTAATATTTCAGCAATAATATCTTGATTGGTCAATTATATGTAGCAATTGACAGAATCCAGCGTGCAAAGAAAGTCGTGTCCGATAGCTTGGGGCTAGTGGATTTTGCTTTCGGGCTAGTGAATTCTGTTCTTAACTTGCCCGATGGGCAAGTGAATGTTTTGGGGAAATTCAAATTACAGAAGGATGGTAATCAATCCTGCAATCAAAAAGAGTTTTTGGGCTAGTTGAAATGACTTGTGGGCTAGTACATGCTAGCTACAGCTTGCCCGAATGGCAGGCTGTAAAACTGACTTTCTTTGCACCCTGGAGTCCATTAGGAAATTGAATAATTTTAATTTTCAGTGGGCAAAAACCTTGTACCAGAATAATTTCAACCATAGTGCATTCTTTTTCACACTTTTCAAGGGCTATAAATGTAATACCTTATATAAAATCACTCCAAAGAAAAGGTTTTTATAAGAGCCCGAGAAAACAAATTTCAAAAGCTTCAAATTTCACGAAATGAAATCTTGTGTATGATGATTTTACCCATGTTTTCTCAGTTCCTTTGAAATTTGAATTTTCTTTTCGCAGGCTCCCAAAAGAAATTGTCTTTGGAGTTATTACAGATAACTAATTATATCTAAAGCCCTTGAAAAGTGTAAAAAAGAATGCGATAATTGCCTTAAAATATTCTGGGACAAGGTTAATTTTGTCCACTGAAAATTAAAATAATTATAATTATTATTAATTTTTACTCAATTTCCTGGTAGATCCTGTCTTAATAACAATATACAGTACAGGAAGTACAAGAAAGCTCACACATGTACAAGCCTCAAGTTATGAGTCTCTCACATCTCTTATTGTGTTGTGATGTACATGTAGGATATACAGCTTTGCACTTAATAATGCTTTTGCACATGTAAAAAGATAAAAGCACCAGATCAGTTTCAACTCAAGATTATTGCAAGATGCACAGTTGTATGCAAACAAAATGGCGGAGTGATCCCGACACTAGAGGTGGTTAAGGTTAATTGTAGACAATTCAGCAGGGGTGGGTATGAGTGGATTTTAAGCCATCGTTTTGAAAGGGATGAACCATGTGTCTTATGACTGCTTTTTTGGTAATGTTCTTGGCCAGTGACAATTTCCCCCTGCCCCCTCAAACCAACACTCTTTCAAATAGCCTGTTTTAGAGAAAAGGTCAGACTAGCATTTTCATATCTTTCTATTTTCTCTCATGAAAACAAGGGTACTTAATACTGTTTTAACCTCTCGTCTTCACCATAGAAGCAAAATAAATGAATTTCAACAATTAAGGCACAGTTGAATCTATAGTTATGGATACTGCTAAAATAATACAGACAGCTCTCTCTATTATGGAAAATTCACCTGCAGGTCCCAAAGATACCAAACTTCACCTGTTCCCTAACTCTATAATACAGACCCCTGTGTAATGCAGATGGTTCTGAACCTTTGGTGCCCCATTAAAGGGATTTTAACTTTAATCTCCGTACACTGCAGCACTGCCCTTTATAAGACACATTAAAATTCATTAGTTGTACATACCACATTGCCAACAAAAGCTTGCACCACACTGCGAACAATGCATCATATCACAGCCAGTTATCCTCTCAACAGCCATACGACACTTTGGACAGTACTGATACCTCCCCTGCTGTTTCATCATACGTATAAAGGATAGATTGCTCATGTTCATTTTATGCTCTCTTGCTTTCCTTCTTTTCTC